CCCCAAAACCCCAAAACCCCAAAACCCCAAAACCCCTTGTAGGAATAAAATATTTGATTTTGAATTATACTCATTACAAATATTAAAAATGAAGAAGTGGCTGCTATTATCTCTGCTAGTGCTAGCATCTGTCTGTAACGAAGAGGCAGGCTATGAACAAGCCTATGCCTTGCCCACCATGGAAAGTCTCGATGAGAAGAGTTTAAACAGACCAGATGCGACCAGTCAGAAATAGTAAGTGGTTTTAGGCTCTCTTTTAAGATATTCCGAAGAATCCCTTGTTAACTGTAATCTAGGCCGTCTGTATCCAGCCAATTATGATAAGAGAATGGGCTCTGACGAGAAGTTTGACCCTCATTTGATACTGAAGGAAAATGCAGCGATGAATAAGAATGTTAAAAACTCCTTAGGCACAGTGGTCGACCCCAGGTTCTGTTTGAAGAAGTGATCGGGCCATGGCAAGTGAGAAGCGGTTTTTAAGTCTGTGACTCCTACCGATGATGCCTCTTTTGAAAGCCAGCTTGAGCAGGAAGATGTTATCTACATCTGTGCTTGTGATGAAAATTTTATTGGTACCTTATGTGATGAATGTAAGACCGGTTTTTATGGGCCAAAATGACTTCCATGAGAAAGAAACCCAGCCGATGGAGAGATTTGTGGAAAGTTTGGAGTCTGTGATGATGGCATCCATGGGCATGGAGGTTGCTATTGTGAGGATGCTGACCTTGAGCCTTCTTTGTTCTGTGAATCAGTGTCTCAAGAGTTATTGCATCAAGAAGAAGAAGATTTTACATGGGGATTCTTTATTCTCCTACTCGTAGCTTTTATGTCTTTACTGATTCTTTACATGTACATAAAGCTTCCATGGCTTGCCAACTTTCCTGAATGTATAGCTGCAGTTGTTCTTGGAATCTGAATTGGGTTATTCCTGAAATACCATCTTGGCTCTGAAGGAAAGGAGGGAGGAATCATTAAAATTTTGCAGTTTGAACCCCATACTTATTTCTTATTTTTACTTCCTCCAATAATGTTTCAGATTGGTTTTTCAATGAATGCAGCAACTTTCCTAAGAAACATAGTGACAATTAACTTTTTCTCTATTTTGGGAACATTCATCAGCAGCTTTGTCTTCTCAGGATTGTTATACTATTCTCTGGGATATATGGGGCTTCCTCATGCTTATATCGACTGATTGCAGTTTGGAACTATTATATCCGCCATTGATCCAGTAGCTACGATATCTATTTTCAAGTCTTTGAGAATTAACGATCGGATTTACATGATTGTATTTGGAGAAAGCACTCTCAATAACGCAGTAGCTATTGCCCTGGCTACCTCTTTTTATGGTATTAAGTTGCTTATTAATGAACTAGATGAGCTGAATATTGTGGTCTTTACTATCGAGAAGTTTTGAACCTATTTCTTCTTGTCGTTCTTGATAGGTGCAACATGGGCTGTGATTACCTCATTTGTATTTGCGACTCTGGATCTTCATGAATTTACATGGATTGAAATAGCAATGTTTACACTTTCATGATACTTCCCATATATCTTCTGTGAAGCTGTGGGCTGCTCAGGAGTTATTTCCATCTTTGTTACAGGTAGCTTTATGAGAAACTATGCCTTCTACTCACTTGGCAGCTGAGGAAAAATCACTATTGAATATTTGGTAGACACAATTGGTTTTACGACTGAGAATTTTATTTTTGCATACCTTGGGGTTTCGATTCCACTAATGCTTGATGAAGTAAATATTTATCTCACTTTGATAGGAATTGCAGTTCTGATGATTTCAAGGTCTGTAGCTGTCTTCTCCACATCGTACCTGGTGTCCTTCTTCGACAAGAAAGTGCCTTTCTCCCACCAGATCGTCTTTATCTATGCTGGCTTGAGAGGATCTGTGGCCTTCTACCTCGCCCTGCACTACCTCGCTGACCAAGAGGCGGTACTGTTGCCTCAGATAATGTCAATGATCCTGTTCACAGTCATTGTGCTGGGAGGCACAACTGTGTTCGTGATGAAGTTCCTGCACAGAATGTTCCCTCAAGACAAAATTTTCAAAGACGAAGACCTCTCCGAAATGTATGAAATGGACGAGCAGTCGCTTGAAGACGAAGTTGAGAAAGAAGAAAACTACGTCATGTCCAGACTCGAAAGATTCGATCGAGAGTTCCTGAGGAAGCTTCTCAGAAAAGAAGGCTGGGAACTCTGAGAAAACACAGTCTTCTTCGAGCAACACGAGTATCCTGGATCTGCTGAAAACCTTGATCTTTCTGCAGAAGACAAGAACTCAGTGTTCTTCAGAAGAACCCAGAACAGAGGCGACTTGTCTCCAACCAGAAACAGCATCATGCATCAGCCGAACATTCCGAAGAGACTCAACAAAGAAGCGGCTCAGCAGTTCTCGTTCAGAGAGAACCTGTCGAAGCGGTTCAAGAAAGATGACTCTTTCGCCACTCCGAACAAAGTGGATGACAGGTACTCAATCAACTTCTCGAGGTACAGAGACAACTTCTCAGTGATGCAGGCCCACAACTTCTTGAACGCAGCCATGGCCAAAGACAGCAACATTGACTTCTCAGCCTCAAGGAGAAAGTCCATGAGGTTCTTGTCTCAGAGAAAGAGCAAGCATGACACCAAGTCAGACGCTTCAGGAGCAGGTGGCAACTTCCATGACAGAAGAAAGAAGAGAGTAGGCAGCTCGATCAGTCCAGCCAACAACTTGAAGAACTTGTCCGGAGGTAGGTTTCGCTTAATGTGTAGAAGAGCCAAGGAGACTCGAAGAACATAGCGGACCCTTTGCGGTCCTGACCAACCAGAAGGTAGACAAGCATGATGCCTTCTCAGAGAAGATTTCTCCAAGAGAGCAAGACTACATCCACCAGGACGACGTTCTCAAGGAAGTCTCTGAAGCAGACGAGGAGGAGAAAGCTCCGAACAGTAAGAGGCCTGAGTCTGAGTCAGGCAAAAGACACCAAACAGGTTTGCTCAAGAATGAATCTAAAATCTAGAGGACGCAAAGGATTTGGAGAAAGGTAGGACTCCAGATAAAGCAGGTGACAGCAGACAAGAGTCCACTCCTGGAGACTCTAAGGCCAGAAAGAAGGCTACAGAGGACATCGATATACGAGTTGACAATGATTGGTAAACTGTTAATTAGTGAAATAAGTCAGTTCAACTGAACATTGAGATGGCGGGGTTTTGGGGTTTTGGGGTTTTGGGGTTTTGGGGTTTTGGGGTTTTGGGG